TTTCGGTAACCATACATGTCTAACAAACGCCGATCAAAAGATGACTTTTTTCAAATTTTTGTTAGCGCTTAGCTTGGCCTTGTTCATAGTTAAAATTTCTTTGTGGTTTCTTTTTTTTTTTGTGGTTCTGCTTCATGATCTTTTTGACATTTCATGGCCCACTAAGTATGATTGGTTTTATACTGGTGGCGCCCTCAAATTTCGCTCGACCATACTTCCCCGCTCGCTTTTTCTGCTTTTCGCTTGAAGAGTGATGAACAGCGACCGCTCCTCATTTATGTTCTCAAAATAAAATTTATTTTATTATTATTATTACTTTAATTCCTAGAGGCTTTTTCTTCAGAGTAGTTTTTCTTTTTCACTCAATAATGTCCCGGTTGCAGTTGTGTGCTGTATTAACGTAGGTGTCTGAAGGGAACACATTTGAGCATCCCATGTGATAAGATCGTGCAAATGATTGACAGAAGCTTCCTAGCCTGTTCATGCTTCCCACAGAGTCAACAAACAGTGAGTTAATTAGGCGTCAGTTCTCTTTTTCTGAGAAAACCAGGCCAACAAAAACCTCACCGCCTTTTGCTGTAACATATGATAAAATACTAACATATCAGAGAGTAGTAAAACTCAATATTGCAGAGTATATAATTTCAATTCATCTGTGTTCCCAATAAAGCTACCATCAACTGAAATTTCAGCGTAAAACAATATTTACTTTACTGTTCTAACTTTTTCCTTAACTTTCTCTGCCTGCATTTTCTAAAACCAGTTCAAAGATAATAAACTACTAAATTTATTGGCTCTATGATTTTGTTTCATTTTAACTCTAACATAGCTCATTCAACGAGAACTTTGAACACTAAAAGTTTAATTAGCAATTACGTGCTCCTCTTGAAGAAAACTTTCCCTCATTTGTTTTGTTAACGCCAACCGTGTAAACATATGTTATTTTATGTTGTATTGAATGTGGAATTACCCTCTTAACTTCGCTCCTTTAATTACAGGTTAATTGTTAAGAATGACAACTTTTCGCTGGTCAAAAGGGTTTGCGAGTCTATTTAGACTCAGTCAGAGATATTTGTGTTTAATTAACCGAACAAGGAAGAAGGGATGTTTACGTTTTGACGCCTCCAAACTGTCGTCAAAAGTAGGACTGTCAAATACAACTGTTAGACAAGACACCTTTAAACCAGAAATCAATAATAATCATCTGTACGTAATAGTCGCTAATTAATTTTTAGCTATTATTTGGCACAGAAGCGCATTAGGATGGGATTAGCGCCCTTTACTATTATAAAGTTAGATTCAGATTAACAAAAAGGCTGAGCCGCGAGGGGAATGGCGAGTAGTCAAATTGAGAGTTGAATTTTTCCCCGCGACTTTGACGCTCGCGAAAATTTGCCCACGGACTCACCCCTAGTGTGTGCGGCTCCGTCGCCAAAGCAAAAGCACTCACGCGCGATATCCCATCAGCTACACAGGCAGGTTAAAGATCTAAGATTAATTTAAAGTATAGCATTTTTGTACAGTTCAAAAATCTTGTTCAACGGATCAAAGCCCATGGTTACTTCCGCCACATTAAAAGAATTTTAAGTCTTTTCAAAAAAAATGATCAACAGAGCTTAAAGTGCTGCGATATTATAAGTGTGTGTTTTTATTGCTTACAGTCTTCAGTGAGAGCCGTGTTTCTTTTTTTCAAAATCAATTCAAATTGTTAGATTACAAATTTAATTTAAGTGCCGTTGTATGTTGACATCAGTTGTGACTCCCTCGACTTGTACGCCCTGAGTTTAATCTGCCAATCAGTGCGTGCGAAAACACCGATATTTACCGGTGTTGTGTCAAATATTTTGAACAATTTTGCTAATGCTTGAGAGACTTTGGAAACTTAATCTTTTCCTTGTTGGCTGGCTNTCACGCGCGATATCCCATCAGCTACACAGGTAAGTTGAAGATCTAAGATTAATTTAAAGTATAGCATTTTTGTACAGTTCAAAAATCTTGTTCAACGGATCAAAGCCCATGGTTACTTCCACCACATTAAAAGAATTTTAAGTTTTTTTTTAAAGAAAAAAGATCATCAGAGTTTAAAGTGCTGCGATATTATAAGTGTGTGTTTTTATTGCTTGCAGTCTTCAGTGAGAGCCGTGTTTCTTTTTTTCAAAATCAATTCAAATTGTAAGATTACAAATTTAATTTAAGTGCCGTTGTATGTTGACATCAGTTTTGACTCCCTCGACTTGTACGCCCCGAGTTTGATCTGCCAATCAGTGCGTGCGAAAATACCGATATTTACCGGTGTTGCGTAAAATATTTTGAACAATTTTGCTAATGCTTGAGAGACTTTGGAAACTTAATCTTTTCCTTGTTGGCTGGCTAAATCGTCAGTGTTGTTCATAGGAGAAGTCAAGCGAAAATATAGCAGTCTGTGTAGGCCAAAATAAAGGTATCGGTGTGTTTTTCACCCTTGCTGATTTTAGCCAATCATGAGGCGAGTAATAACTGGAATAATTCCACTATTATGTCACTGTTTTGTGTTCGTGCCTACGGCACCAGTCAAGATTACTTCAGTTATTTTCTCTGGTGCTTTCAAGCGTTCTGGTGATTGTTAGGCTTTTTCGAAAATAAAATGCTGTAGCTGAAAATAATCCTTTTTAGCAAAATTTGGAATCAAGAAGCCATTTAAGGTAAGTCTGGTGCTTTGAAGTTTTTTATGCTGTCGATTTGAGGTTTAAAACGTTCAAATGCTGCGCTGACTTTCTAGTTTAGAGGCGTACCAGTTCTTACACCCTAAAGCACACGCTTCAATGATCGCAGTCATTTCAACTGTTGAATACTTGATTGAACATTTTGTTTCGTTACTCCTGGAAATTTGTGATATCCTGAGCTTTATTTCAAGACATTCCCTGACAGCACCAGAGGTATTAGCTGCAAAATTAGTTCTTCCTTTTCCAGGTTGGGTTAGAAAACTGAGTTGTTTTGGTGTTATGTTAGTTGTTTTTTCTCTACCCGTTGGCACTTAACACGATAATTCTCATTTGCTTGTAGGTTTGACAGCATAATCTCATCTTGTAGCGCGCCGAACAGAAACACTGCCCTGCCATGTATAGTTTCAGATTTCTTGCGACGCTCAGTGTTTTCCTAGGATTTTGTATTTTGGTTTTTCAAATTCGACCGTCCTCTTCCATGCCAATAGAAGGAGGTAAGAACATTTCATAGTAGGTCATGTGCTTGTATTTGCACGTTTATCACATACCTGCACTCTGATATAGCTTCTCTTATGGGGTTAGCTATTTTCGCATTGTAACCAGTTTTAAGACAATCCTGGACAAAATTTTTCACGAATTTTAAAAATCAACAAGTAATCTTTCCTCTTTCTCTCTTTCCCAGACAAATTTAACGGTGAAAGTTGTTTGTCTTTATTCGTTGGTTGTTTGACCAAACATCTAAACGCAATAATAAGCGTAGCATGATCGGTATGTGGAAAATGAAAACGAGCGCCAGCGCGGGCATTTGCACTCACGCTGCGCTTGCATTCTGCTTGTGTCTGCTTTGCTAGTAAAACCCAGGCGTTACTTCCTCTTGTAAGGTCAATCATATTTCAGACAGGTGACAAGAAGCGAAACGATCAACTATAAAGTGTATTGTCTTGATGTACTGGCAAATTCTCCAAACAAACACTTTCAATGACACACGATAGTCAGTAGCGAAAAGTAATACTTTAAGCTCACCACTGAAAGAGCTGTGGTGTTTCGCAGTCCGAAGTGTTTTACAGCAATCTTATCGTTTAATATACCATTCTTCACTTTAATATTTGTCTCTGTTGTTAATATATACAAGCTCCAAGAAAGCTGTTACACTATCGACCAGACTGGCTTTATATTGTTGAACGCGTGTTTAACGTTAAAAGACTACATGTCTGAAAGTGTTTGATTTCTTCGCAGACAAAAATATTGACAAATATCAAAGTATATTCGACCTGATAGCTCAAAAGCTACGGAATTTGAGTCAAGTAAATACAGGAGATAATAATCAAAACATTCGAAGATCATTTCTCTCTGTGACAACCCTTGGCAACACGATGAATCAAAGTTCAGTGGCACAAAACACAACCAATGTGAACAATACGGCAGAGTTGAGAGGCGCCACACAAAAGCATCAAATAAACGGTCAAAATAGTCGAAGATCATATGTTCCTACGGCGATTGGTTATAGGGGAAACTTATTGGCGGGAAACCCATCAGCAGCAAACCAAATGGCGGGAAGATCACCGGGCGGAAATCAGGTGGGAAATTTTCCCGTCAGAAATCTATCGGCTGGAAACCAACTGACCGGAAATTTTCCCGCCAGAAACCCAGCGGCTGGAAACCAACTGACCGGAAATTTTTCGGTGGGAATCCGACAGGCGGCAACTTTTCCGAACGTCACGAAGCCAGCTTCTAATTTTTTGACAAACAGGGAACAGACTGGTGCGTCAATGTTCCCCACTTCTTTAAACGACGGTCCTACCTCTCATGAAGACCGGAGTGGCTTCTACACGAATATTTACAGGCAGCCATTGACTTATGATAGGAAAGATACAATTTACCGCCAAAATCTGCCGGTATCCAACCACTACAGTCAAAAAAATATCAATGCTTATGGAACCATTTCGTCCCTATCGGCCGAGCCTAGAAGGACAGGATTCATTCCACTTAACCAATATGCCCAAAGCTATCAAAATTATCAGCAACCGATGGGTCACAAGGGACCTAACTACCAACAGTATTCTAGCTATTCAGGATACCCAAGCTATCAGCAACAGCAGTGGAGGCGCGGTTACTCAGCAGGCCCTGGTTACCAAGTTAGTTATCCGGGAATATCGCAACAATACAAAGAACCTCGTGATCGAGTTCCAATACTTCTGGATAAGAATTGGTCCGTGCCAATGACAATGAAAGAAAGTGAAAATCACATTTACAATAAACATGACGACACGTTATTGCCAATGCCATCAACTATACAAAGGAAACTCCCAGAGAAACCTGCCAGAAAGAGCACATCTCCTAGGATCCAGTCCCTTCCGGCGGATAATATTCCAAGCTCTGGCTCGGGGTCTGGACTTGACGATTCTGACGTCATATCTGATGAACCTGATGATACTACCGCTGACATTCAAAAATCAAAGGAATTTAGTGTCAGTGGAAGTGGTGACAACGATGAAGATTTAAATGGTGATACTTCTAATGTGGCCTTCATGTTAGCTGGCACGCACAATGACCGCATTAAGCCTCCCTCGTTTCCATTGCCTGGTCTACCGATGAACTTGACAAGGAAACAAGCTCTTGATATTTACAAATCAGCTTTGTACTTCGCTGGTTTATTACGGGAAGGTAAGTGGTGAATACGCGGCACGATTAGACCAAGAAACTCGGTTTACATACAAAATGCGAAAGTTCATGACATAAAGTTAGGCTATCAGTGTTTAGGGGGCAACTTGCACCGTTTACAAAGTTCTTTGTATTAAGCCAGATGCCCTTACCCCTAGGAACAAAAGAGATGCAGTTTAACAAGCAGAACGAATCAAAATAGGGGTTTTAATGAGGTCCAGGTCAACTCTGTTTGTTGCCCGCTCATTGCCTTAACAAAAAAAAAAAAAAATCACTATCTAGGTACAGCGAAAATCTTGAGGAAGGATACAAATTCATAGAATCATTTTAAACTAAGGCATTAATCGTTCTTACAGAGGGATTTCTTGGTCTTGTCGCCGTTGCGCCTTTGCTACTGACAGGAAATGCCTACAAAGAAGTAATACTCAGTACAGTGACTAAACAGAAATTGAAGAAGACAACTCCAACAGACTAACCCCGAAACTGAAAACTCATCAAAGAAACTATGTACCAGTCATTCAAGGAATGACGGACAGTTTAGCGTACAGAGCGGTACAACAACGACAAGGACACCTCTCTTACAGCACACTTCAGCCGCCACGACTGAAAAGACTACATTACGACAGAGGATGACGTTACCGTCTACGTCAGAGTAAACTGCTCACAACGTAAATAACGAAAAACTTTCCTTCTTTTCACGGACAGTGTTGACAATCACTCTTTTGAGTTTATGTGCTGACCAGAATTACAGTTTGACTGAGCCAATCGCTGAAATAAAATTACAAAACTTGAGTTATGACGTTTGATACCTTTACTGTTGATCTTAAAAAGTTTTGCCATGACAACTGCCTAATGTTAACCTGATACATTTAACCATACTGTTAACCTGATATTTTTAAACTTTCGTGAAACAAACGAACAGTAGTGTTGATTTCAGTTCGCTGTTTCGAGAGTGTCGGGTCTAACATTAAACTTCTATGCCTCTATTCTGCCAGATAACTTAGACAAAGACAAGGCAGGATCAGGGGATGACGTCATAGATGACGGGGATAGAGGTGATAATAAAATCGATGATGAAGATGACGATGATGATGCTAACGACGATGACGACGTGACTATCACTGATAATGACGTCAAAGAAGCTCTAGCTGCGTCAAGTGGAGAGCTACCCGCAAGCGGTCAACCAATTAGCGACGTAGAAGCTTCTGGTAGCCATTCAGAAGCGCCTGTCACCCAGTCACAGGGCAAAGACAACGATACTGTTGTAAAAGGCGAAAGCGAGGATCAGAAGACAGCAAGCGATTCGCAGAAGCTCGTCAGCGAGCCACCAAAGGAAGACGTCCAGGCTCCACCGCAAGACAACTCGGCCCAGAAAGTCGAGGAAGAAGCTCCAAAAGAAGAAGAAGATGCTGATAAAGAACAAAGCAAGCCTGAACAGGTTGAAAATGTTGAAGACATCAACGCCGAGACTCCACCACCAGCTGATAGCGACAAACAAGCTACTGATTCTACCGTGCAAGACGATGATACACCACCACCTGATGAAACCCAACAAATGAAAGAAGCTCAAACAAAATACGCTGAAGACCAACAAGAGGAAAAAGCCTTATCTTATCTAGCAAATGGTAAGAAGTTGTTCTGTGATCATATCTTTTTTTTCAGTGGGTTTTGACAGGTTTTAAAGTTCCTGGTTTCAGTCAATGTCATCATAATAGCCAAGTTATTGCCTCTGGCCAAACAAAACAAGCAAAAATGACACACTTATTAAACCAATCAAAACTGCAATAAAAACATGGAATGATTGTCAAGCGCGGGAAAACCGGCAGCCGCGCGGGAAAACGCGTACAGGCCAAATCTTAATGGGTTGTGTTTGATTTGACGAAGAACAAGGCTCTTTAGTCTAATTCGTCAGATCACGTATCTAATGAAGGAAAATAAATTAAAGTTAAAAAAGCATTTAAATAAATGTTAATTTGAGCCAGATAGTACTACATTTTTAACAATACTGTCTTAAGCTCGTCAAAGCGGAGTTTACTCATCGCCGTCTCAAAGGACTGTCATATGCAAAGACACGATCCAGAAAATCTCCTGCCCGCCCGAGCAGAGGATAAGAATCTTAAACGCTGATTATGGTGATACGGGTGATGTGGGATGCCTGAAAGAAGCTAATCCGATGCCTTCCGGCATGTGTCGCACGCCTGGAGCGTATGAGACAGTGAAGAGACAGTGTGATGGCTTGGAGGACTGTAATTTGCTCGCTAGTAACGGCGTGTTTGGAGACGCGTGCCCTGACGCAAACAAATACCTGGATGTGAACTACGACTGCGTAAATAATCCGGGTAAGTTGATGGAAGGCGATTCTCCCCCCCCCCCCCGGGGGGGGGGGTACTTTGGGAATACAGGTTAATAGGGACCTGAAGCTGGATGAGGCTTCATTTTCACGACTGGATTGACTATAATGGGATGGCATTTTCAACAGAGTTACTAGAATGGGGTCGCACTTTTGGGTGTAAGAGATTTCAAGTAGAGATTTCAAAATGGGAAGATTCGGGGTGAAAAAGTTGCTACCGTTCTACATTCAGTTTAACAAATGTGTCACTTTATTTTAGGATGAACTAGTTAATATGCTTCATAAGGTAGATGCATAAACACAAAGTGACTAGGTTGGGATCGCGAAAATTACATTTGACTAAGATGGGGTTCGTAATTGGCCACAGAATGTAATGGATCAGGGGTTTCGAGAGGCTAGCGGCAGATACTCAGCGAAAATTGACCCAAGTACCTCCATGCTATTCTCGTCCTTAGAGCCCTCTTTTTTGGTCACGTGCTCGGCGTTCTAATTTCAGAGACTGACAAAACGAGTGGCTCTGGGGACAATAAAGATGGGAGGCAACGTAAGGTTGCTGAAGGTGTGAGATGTGGAAGTTTGGTGGGGCTCAAGAAATATCGTAAAATAAGGATTTTAAAAGGTTCTAATTTGACATTTATTCACCTAATATGGGGCTTGTACAGTCCTAAACTAGAAGTGATGCCTCCGGAGATACTTCAGGTTATAAATCAGGCGTGGGCTCAAATTCTTGACCTCGACGCACTATTAAATAGAAAGTTAATACCACGCCTCCCCTGAGCTAATGGAGCAGCTCAGTAACGAGTTTCTAGCATGAAGTCAAATGGGGCAGAAGAGATCGAACCTTACAGTTCCTCATCGGGGCTATTGAAATTCATTTAATTTCTTTACGTCCAAATTAAATCTGAATTTCACTCGAACTGCATGTGAAAAACTTAAATTTGCCACTAATAACTTTATAATTAAAACCTCTCACAAGCACCACAAATGGTCGCTAGTAGGTGATATGGTTCAGCTCAACGTAACAAATCTGAATAGATCGGAGAAAGCAAAAAGTTTCTTTTGCAGGTATCAATGCAACTTCGATTAGATGCAGGTTTATAGTCCCTATCTTTCCACTGACCGCGCCCTCGTTTAAAATGACTCTTGCGACAGTATTTTCGCGCCATTTTGTGCTCGAAAAATCTTCCAATGTACCGCCCTGTGTCTAAATAAAGTCATTTGGAAAGGTCTGTTATGACTTAATTTTCAATAACCAATCACGATCGAGATAAGTCATTGACTACCTGCAAAATAGTCACTTCTGTAAAACACGTAAGCTGGCGTAAAAACAAATTGCTGAAGTTTGGAAATTCGATCCTGGAGTGCTTCGACCTAACGACATGAGGAGTTTATTTATCAACGTTTTTGCATTCTTTGTTTCTTTTGCTTTGTTAAACGTTGTTTACGCAGGTATTTCAAAGTCATGTTAGGAAATTCATCTGGCCATTGCTTTTGCTGAAATATGCACGGGAGTCCGGACAAGTTGATAATTTCTCGTATATTTTTCAATTTCGTACAGCTCCTTCATTACATTGGTACGATCTTTGGAAGTATCATTCTAAACCTCAACACGAACAAGGTTCTCAGTCACACGTTTCATTAGATAATGCCGCCTTTATGATCGTTTTTATTTACATCCATACGTCTAACATTTTTGGAAACTTTGTGTTGATGTTTAACAGCACACAAAAAGTTTGAACCTCCACCTCCTCCACCTCAACAAGTGGAGAAATCTTCTTCTGGTCTTCAGCCTATTATTCAGTTGCCACAGTTCATCTTTCAAGGTGTCTTGCTTTTGTCTGCACGCTTTTGTAAGTTTTTTCAATCAACTCAGCCATCATTTGAAGCGTATTTAATCACAGGATGTTTCTTCGTATCTTTTTAGTACCGTACCCAGCCGCTCCCGCTCCAGGATACAATCAAGGTAAGAGACAAGTTGCTTATTCGTAGTGATTAAATTGATTAATAATTGTTGCTAATTCTAACTGTAAATCGTTGATAAAGATATATATTTTCTCGGTGGCTTGACCATATGCACTTTACACGTTAATCCAACAAGAAATCTGAAACTTTATGACCATGAAGAGACTTCAAAGATGACAGAAATGAAAAGAAATGAAAAAATTCTCGTAGATTATAATGAATTTATCACTGCTCGGGAGCAAAAAACTGACTGCTTGGCAGCTTCCAAGACAATTCTATCTTTTTTTCCCGCAAACTGGCTTCCGAAAATGGTTACCTCAAACTGTGACCTGCGAGAAGAAGACAACCTCAATTGACATCTGGTGGCCATAATGTTTCTGATTGCATTATCTTTTGACAATTGGTGTTTTAGAGCTCTCGTAATTATGGTAGACTTATATGTTTTCTCGATTGCAGATGAGTAGTGTTCTTATATTTTGCTGGGTTTTGAATAGACGAGATAACGATTTGAATCCAGGCGTGGTCGCTACACCTTACAATCCTCCTTATACTCTTGCTCTCATTTTCCATTCCATGCCTGTTTTAATTATCTTAGACCTATATACTTTATGATTCGTAGCAAGGTCCTTTTTATACTGAAAATAAGTTCTTAGTTCTTATATGGCTTGTATATCTCTCAGCATAAAACAGTTTAACAAACAGTGGAAAGAGTTTTGATTTAGGCCACAATTTTGCCGATGTGGTTTTCATAATGCGGTTTTGCCTGTCATTCAAACTGGTATACGATCGCAAAACGCTAATCGTGTTCATCAAGAATGCTATCATTTGAAAACAGAGCACTTTCGTATCCGAGTAGACGGCAAAAGTGCAGCGAAGCATTTACAAGCGTGTCTTAGTGGACGGTTAGCGAAAAAGATAGCTATACTTTTGCACGTTTACACCTTTACTTTGCCTTGACGTGGTTTTCCTCTATTGCGTTAACAGCTAGTTACCAGCCCTCCCCGCAGTATGTGAATCCTCCGCCTCCGCCGGTCGCCTATGCCCCAGCACCCTATCAAGGTGAGTGCTAAAATTCAAACTTCTCGCCTGAATCACAACAAACGCATGTGCAACTGACCAATCAGAAAACAAAAATATTCAACAAGCGCCAAGTGCGGGAACGCGCGAGGTCACAATTCCTTTGTTTTTTTAGTTATGGCTTTACATAGTAATGGCAATGTTTTATATTGGCACTGTTTCTTTGATATTTTTAGCTCCACCTCCTGCTGGATATGCCCCTGCCATGGGACTCCCGAATCTTTTACCCTCAAGCCCGTATGTACCGCCCGACCCGTGCAGCCCGTGCAACACGTGCGCCCAGTGCTCGTTACCAGTCTGCAGCCCGTGTACTCAGGCATGTCACGCGTTGACGTGTCCTCCGCGCATCCCAGCTAAACTACAGCCTTTGTGGCAACAATGGAATGAAAGAACCGCAGGTAATTAACGACTGTTTTGTACCGAACTCCCAATATCAATTTTTCTGCACATTCATAACCTGCACTGAGTTGTGCACAAATAACACGCGATATTTGTGCAGTTAGGCCTTGTTTGCACTAGCGACATAACAACATAATAAGTTATGTAGCAATGTGAACATCGGTATAAAAATGTTAAGGAAAAGATCAGTTTTTTCTTTATGCCAGTCTGTTATGTTGCTATCATGTCGTTATATTAGGATTTTCATATCGACATTTCATAATGACATTATTTTCTTCTTATGTCGTTATGCCGTTAGGGTGGACACAGACCTTAGTAATTTTGTCCTTTAGTCGCCATGGAAACCATAAGCACATACGTAACTTGCTTTTGGGTTTCAAAGATGTCGTGGTAGTGATTAGAAGACATCTCTTCGTTTTATTGTATCTTGACTCACACTGAGGGCAGGCGAAAATACAGCAAAATACTTAGCCATTGTACTACCGTACCTAATCCGTCTCAACTGTTTAATAATACCATACCTAAATAGTTCTCACATTTTTACCAAGGTTAACATATACAATCATTTCATTTCAACATGTGCGCCTATATCTTTAGACAGTTAACTTCTTACTCGCGGTTTAAGAAATTTTGCTTGACGAGCTACTGTAAGAAGTATTAAAATCTCAAGCAATGTTAATTGCCTTTAATTCTAGACATGAGCCGAATGGAAATGGCAGCGCTCATCATTTCACCTCTGCCAAAACTTGCCGCTCCCACAAAAGCACCGGAAACAACCGAGGCGTCAGGTGCAGCCGAGGGGTCTGAATCCGAGTCAGGTGACGAAACCACTGACGAGGATGCTCTGTACGAGGCCAGCAAGAGGTCTGGAATCCAACGAGTGAAATCACAGCCAAAATCGAAAAAGACTACTTTGACTGCGCATAAAAAAGCCCATAATAAGGAGGACAGCGAGCAAGGGTTTCTAAGAAACAGTGACTTAATGGTCTCCTCTGGAGATGCAAGCAGCGGCTCATCAACATGAGGTGTGGAAATAGAAATACGCTGAGTGCTCCTTTAAACAAGACCATATCCAAGAGGAACCGAAAGTGTTCAGTGCCACCGCAACGTTTGACGCATAGAGAAGTTGTGAAACGTTTTGACATTAGGGAACTTATTTTGTTAACTCAGTTAAAGAAAACCGGGCAAACGAAAGTCGCGACTTCACTGTAAGTGTTTGCCACTCTGTGAACGCCTGATATGTTCGTTCTTTAGTCGATACGGGCGAACAGACGTAAAAAGTAGAAAAATGAAAATTAATGTTATTTGAAAATATTAGAAAACAAATCTGGCGTTTTCCATTCAAGGGAAACTTTAAAATAACTAACTAGCTCACAAACTTGGCATTTACATGGGAATGTGATTATTAACCTTTGTAAAATTTCAATCTCTTAGACGCCACAAAATAATTTGGACCGTCGAGTAACGCTCCTGTTAGTGTTGCGTGACAGCTAAAGCAATGTCTGCGAAGTGCAATGCTTCTTGCAGAAATCCCCAAAATTCAAAGATATAAATAGTGTTATGATGTATAAAGCTATAATTTTTATTTGAAACGGGGATTAAAATGTATGGAGTGGGATCTACTAAGCTGCTTTAGTTGAATATTACTGAGTGAGCAAGACTGCTGACGTGACTGTGAATATATTTTCATTCATATGTTACATTATTGTAAATACGATTATCAAGATGTTGGTTGGAAAACTTTATTTTTAATAATAAACCACTGAAAACATTTGAGCTCGTTATTGGTAACAATTTCTTTTGGGTGAAGTTGGAATAACAATGATTCCACTCTGCTTCCCTTTCCTCGTTTCCTCTTTATGTCACTGATTTGTCTAATTCCAGTTTTCATCAGAATTCCATAGCAAGATCAGAACCAGTATAAATGGCTGGCGAACGATTTGTGCCATACAGCTTCCCAGGGGCGGCGGGGAGACTGGGCGGGACATGTGGGGGGGATTAACCTTGCTTCTCGTCAGTTTCCTTGCATATCCTGTTGCATACCCTGAAGACCATACCTTTACTTCTCCATCCAGGTGGAATGATCTTCAGCATGCCATTTATATTTAAGGCAGTCTCATGGCTGCGGTAACCCATGTTCCCTTACTCCTTATAACACTTCAAAATACTTCAAAACGCTTTTAAAATAAATCTCGTGTTTTTGTAACAACTCCCGCTGAACATAAACTGGGTAACCAATCCCAAAATAGAAAATTCAAGGCGATGTTTATAGTACTTTCTATTTGCTTTGTTTTCGTCTTGTTTATTTTATCCATAACCCATTGTACAAATTAACAACAAATTGTCAAATCGCACAACAGATGATAAAGTGAACAGTCAAAACCGGTACTAAAACCGAAAATGTTAATTTTACGTACTCCACTCAGTCAGCCACTAAAATCATTGTTCTCAGATTTATTTTGTTTTTATTTTGAATTAGCTATTCTCGCAACGCTGATCTGGTAGAGAAGTACTTCCTTGTGACGAATATCTTATATCTTTGATTACAGCTAGCTAACACCATAACTGAGAAATTCACAACAGCCATATGAGTCTATAAATAAAAAGATTTGTTTTAATATTGTTTATCGCTTTCTTTCGATGACTCCTGGGGTCATCGCCTTTTTCTCACAGGTGCCTAAATATCTTCCAAAGGTACTTGGCAAAGCACGCCGCAAATGGTTAAACAAACTGTCTGGAATTTGGAGTGTCGTCTCTAAAACTAACTTGTCTCTAATCGGTTCACTGACTGACAAGGAGTGAAAAAAATGCTTGTGATAAAAAACAAGGCTGTGTCTACAAAGTCCAACTTCAATCTAACGGTGTTTTTCTTTATAATTAAAGAGAAACCAGTAAAGCAATTTGTTATGTTCTTGTCAACAGTTATTCAATGACCTGTAGACCACACATTCTATTGTGACCTGACCGCGAATAAATATCAGTAGTGTCTAACAGACGGTGTTGTTTGTGAGTCGTCTTATTTGATAATATACTGAGATCCTTATTCAATGGTCCGTCTGGCAAAACATGGCTAATTTGCTTCAGTTACGCTAGAGTAACAACATTTTCGGGCGGGCCAAGAGTAAGCTACAGAACTAACTAAAAATTCTCATCACCCTCCCCCCCTACCACCGCCCTAATGTAAAATGGGCTTTTGAAAGAATTTTTAGCTCAATGACATAGAAGAAACGTTATTTCTGCAAATGTTCTTCGTGGTTATTCAGGAATAACTAAGAGTGCAGACTCTAATGGTAAATTCTTGTTTAACAAATGCCCACTGAGCAAGGTAAGAAAGTTGACTCGCGTTGGATGATTCACGTGTAATAATGGAAACATAGTTTTATAGTTAATAAAGTATTGGTCCATTTTTCTGTTAGCATGACCGTGAAAAAGTTGCCTTTTTAATTTGTGCTATGATTTATTTGAATGGAGTTGAGGGAGAGTCCACGTAGAAGTTACTACGAATGGTCGACACAAACTTTGAAATCAACCCCTAAATGGAACCAGAAGAGCGTTTTGTGGGCGTGGTTTGATTTATTTTCTCCCCTAGGAGATACCAAGTCTAAAACGATAAGTTGTTGCTTCCATCTGTTCAGACGTTTAAGCCAGTGCCGAGATCATGACTCAAACAGTGGCGATTTAAGCAGACTGAGCAGTAACAAATCCTTGATTTTAACCCCTAAACGCTACGACGATCAGTCCCATCACATCTCAGTGTGAGATGTCGCTCCCCACTGGGATTGTCACAGTTACAATAGAGATTTAAAATGTTGGGAAAATTAAAGTCTAAAAAAGTTCATTTTAACTGTTGTCATGTAGTTTTAGTGGACATTACTGACACAGTTTGACTGTTCAAGTACTGGGCCATTCACTACTATTTGTCAACATTTCGCCATTTTTCACGTTCAAAGAAACTCCACATAGACCTACCTAATGACAAACTAAGGAGCAGATGAGCTTAATAACTTGTCACGGTTGACCGTTTTCACGTCCTGCAGAATTGATTTAAGTATCAGTAATTTTTCCTTTATTCTTTCCGCGGATTGGAGGCATGAAATACCCTACGAAGGTCTAAGAACAAGGTTAAGTGATTAATTGTTATTAACAGTTTTAAAAGACTATTTTCCAAATTTCTGAATTGGTTGCACATAAGATAAATTTGCAAATTAATCAAACTGTTAACTTGAAAGATGAAAATGCTTCTTACTAGACAGATAAGAAACAATCAATACTTACACCATGAACCGCAGTTGACAAACTTTAATTGGAACACGAGCACAAAACAAACAAATCTCGCCCACTCGTTTATCCATTTTGTATTTTTTTCCCTTTTCAAGGAAACTGTTTTATCCTTTTAGTTGGAAATGGGCTGTGACGTGTTTTTCTGACCTTGTTTGTTTCAAAGAATCGGTTTAACTTCCAAAACTTCACGCTGAAATGCGACAAAAAAGCAAATCCAAAGACGGAGTACCCACTCGCTTGTCTGTGCAGACTGATTCAGTTCTGTGTCTTGATGTTCAGTGACCTTTGTCGACATGATATTTGTCATCGTTTCACAAAAAGGGCGTGTAGTAGCGGTGAGTTGCACTTTTCACATTGAAAGCGGCGGAAGAAGGCATTGTTTTTGCCCGGTGACAGATGAGAAACCACTTCTAACAACGTTAACGAAAGATGAATTTCATTTCAAGGGCAGGTATTCTGTGCCCTGGTCAAAACAAGATTTTTTGCGAGCGAAATTTTCCTTGTGGTAGAAACGATGAAGCATCAATTTTCTGGAAAACCTTGTATTTAGATAAAGCTAGCTTTTACTGTGCGAGATTTTGAATGGAAATTTAAAGAAATTGAAAGATTTTCAGTAATAGGCGATAGAGATTAAATAAACTTCCAAAGCGTTTTTTTCCCTCACCAATTTCTGGTGTTCCCTTGTCATTTGCTAACGACACGACTGGTGAATACTAAAATATTAACGATATACACTGACCTGATGCGGGGATACTGAGCTTAGAAAGTGACCTTTTGAAAAAGCAATCGAAACAATTCCATCACAAAAAAACAATATTAGGTCGACGAATATTTCTGGCAAAAGTAAAATACCCTTTGCGAGCGTCAAAGTCTGGCTTTGTTTCCCAAAAAGGGGCTTACGCGCGAAATGCGAATCACCTCACGGCCCGTGAATAATTAACACGCCACGGTCTTGACCTGAGTGAATCAGGGATTACAAAGACTGGTGAATAATTTAACGTTTCCGGGACCCTGGCATAAAACGTTTTATTTCAGTTTATCATAATTCAATCCGTATTCAAGGAGGTAGCCTCAGAGAGACGGTAAGTTGGGTCATCGTTGTAATAGCCGAATTGATTCGTTTTGGTTCAACGCAAACCAGTAGAGGGGTACAGGAAGCAACTAATAGAAAACTAGGTGCGAGAAAACGTGGTTTATGGTTTATTACGATATAATAAATCGCGATAAAACGAAGACTAAACGCTTACCTCAGACTTGAAGAAGTATTTGACTTGACTCGAAGAAGTTAGGTGATGGTAAATAACTTTCTTATCACATTCAACAAAGTCTGGACTTTGTGATTATGCTAAAGTTAACTTCAGTTTAAAAGGCAAGTCGTTTCATTTGTTGAAATCTAACTTATCATTATTGGTGCATTTTCACAGCCCATCATGGCTCCAAAGGCGTTATTAGTGTGTCTTTTAATTGTGGCGGTTGCCTTCGTCGAGGCCGGGAAACACCCTAAAGCTAACAAGATAAAGAAAGGTGAGTTTTGTTCTTTAATTTTTCTTTAGAAATGGCCGCACGGGTAGCTCGATAGGGAATAAATCTCCGTGAATGAAAGCAGTGGTAGAAACTCGAAATTATCATGTTAAATGGCAAAAGGAATGATAGAAAAAATACCTATTGTAGTTGTTATAACTTGGACCATTTAATCTACATTATTCTTATATCTGTGAACTTGTGGTTCACCTCCCTCTACGTATGTCATCGTATTTCATGATCGCTTAATTCGTGAAACAACAACAGATAAAACACAATTATTTACAAGTTTTGGTTTAGGTGGACTGAGAGCTTCTCCTTGATGAATACGTTGCTTGAAATATCAAGCCGAGCCAACCTACAAAGTTATGAGAAATTGTAACAATTAACACGAAAACTAGTTTTGAAAAGGTTTCGGATATATTTAAAGGGCGCCAAGAAAAACTTCTGGCCACATGTAGTCCACCTTAAACCACCTGTCATGGGAGTCAGTTAGTATAAACAGTGCGACTGGACTAAATTTGGCTCGTAATTGACGATACGAGAAATTGAAATAGCTAAAAAATGATCTAAATAGTAATTCTTTTTCTTTATCTTTCCTTTAGTCAAAAGCAGTCAAGGATCCAAGAAGTGTGGTCCATGCTCAGTAACCTCCTGCGCACCTTCATGCCCGCCGGCATGCTGTGCCCCACCCCCACCCCCACCATGCCCACCACCTTGTCCTCCCCCATGCCCTCCTCCATGCCCACCACCTCCACCGCCGTGCCCTCCTCCTTGCATGACCCATAGTATACAGCACTCTCACAGTCAGTCATGGGCACCGGCTCCTCCGCCGCCATGTCCACCACCGTGCATGCCCCCAGGTCCCCCTCAGTCTGTACACCACATCCATCATGTAACTCATCATCATATGTTGCCTCCTCCTCCCCCCCCCCCACCACTTCCCTGCCCACCACCATGCCACACTGCTAGTGTTATGCATCATCATACCCACCAATGGGCTCCTGCTCCCCCTCCACCCTGCCCACCCCCATGCTCCCCTCCCGGTCCACCACAAAGAATCCACCATGTTCACCAGGTCGTCCACCACATCGTGCATCCACCACCACCCCCACCACCACCTTGTCCACCCCCATGTGTCATGAGCTGCGCTCCATCTTGCCCAGTGTCTTGCTGTAAGAAGAACAAGGTCAAGGCCGAGGATGATGGCTCTGGCGAGGACCAAGTCGACGATGACGACGACAAGGTCGAGGAAAAGAAGGAAGATGAAGCTGACAAGCAGGAGGACAAAGAGGAAGAGAAACAAGAAGCGAAACAAGAGGACAAACAGGAAGATAAACAAGAAGACAAGACTGAGGAAAAAAAGGAGGATAAGAAAGAGGAAAACGACGATGACGATTAGTTTAACCGAGCTTCATAGTTAGGTTTCATTTCGGTGTATGTTACACGAGGAGTTCAGCGTCCTGAAAGATGCGCTTATGATGCATTTTACCTGAAGTACGCATGCTCGTACGCTTGTGAATAAACGCAACCCTCGATCCACCTTGTGAAGTTTGCAGAAAAAAAAGTTGTACATGTGGTTATTGATATTTAATTAAAGGTGAAGCGTTTTAAACTATAACTTGTTTCTTGATTACGTTTGAGTTGTAATATAAAATAAGTGTCGTTGATCGAAGTTTACAGTTAAAACTATTTGCTCAGGGACAAAAAACAGCAGCAGCAGCCGCAGCAGCAAAAACAACAACGACGACGACACTTAACAAACAAAAACAACAAAACTGGCAAAAATTACAGAGCTGCCTACACACAGGGGAAAATAGTAAAAATTTAACTTGAAAGTTAAAACTCTTCATTGAAACGTTTTCTAACGCCTGAAATTAAGAATTTTCCCACACCCCCATTTTGCCCATCTCTTTTGCTAAAAATGGAATTCACTGACCCACCCGACCCTAAATTGTTGTGGGTACTATCGTCCCACTCCACCCGTCCTTTGCGTTCACCAACACATATTTGTTTCTAGAAGGTTTTCTAAAGTGTGGCTTATTTATTTAAATCTATTTATCCAAACTTTTGCTTTTCCCATGTGTTATAGCGTAAATGTACTCTGGACCCGAAAAGAAAACGCAATTTTTTTTCGTGTGCATGCTATAAAGGTTTTTTTTGAATTATAACGTTTGGGTAGCCAAATTCTGGTACTAATTTTCCCCTCTTTGGGTGATCAATAAATTTTAAAAACAAACTGTTTATNGGGGGGGATTAACCTTGCTTCTCGTCAGTTTCCTTGCATATCCTGTTGCATACCCTGAAGACCATACCTTTACTTCTCCATCCAGGTGGAATGATCTTCAGCATGCCATTTATATTTAAGGCAGTCTCATGGCTGCGGTAACCCATGTTCCCTTACTCCTTATAACACTTCAAAATACTTCAAAACGCTTTTAAAATAAATCTCGTGTTTTTGTAACAACTCCCGCTGAACATAAACTGGGTAACCAATCCCAAAATAGAAAATTCAAGGCGATGTTTATAGTACTTTCTATTTGCTTTGTTTTCGTCTTGTTTATTTTATCCATAACCCATTGTACAAATTAACAACAAATTGTCAAATCGCACAACAGATGATAAAGTGAACAGTCAAAACCGGTACTAAAACCGAAAATGTTAATTTTACGTACTCCACTCAGTCAGCCACTAAAATCATTGTTCTCAGATTTATTTTGTTTTTATTTTGAATTAGCTATTCTCGCAACGCTGATCTGGTAGAGAAGTACTTCCTTGTGACGAATATCTTATATCTTTGATTACAGCTAGCTAACACCATAACTGAGAAATTCACAACAGCCATATGAGTCTATAAATAAAAAGATTTGTTTTAATATTGTTTATCGCTTTCTTTCGATGACTCCTGGGGTCATCGCCTTTTTCTCACAGGTGCCTAAATATCTTCCAAAGGTACTTGGCAAAGCACGCCGCAAATGGTTAAACAAACTGTCTGGAATTTGGAGTGTCGTCTCTAAAACTAACTTGTCTCTAATCGGTTCACTGACTGACAAGGAGTGAAAAAAATGCTTGTGATAAAAAACAAGGCTGTGTCTACAAAGTCCAACTTCAATCTAACGGTGTTTTTCTTTATAATTAAAGAGAAACCAGTAAAGCAATTTGTTATGTTCTTGTCAACAGTTATTCAATGACCTGTAGACCACACATTCTATTGTGACCTGACCGCGAATAAATATCAGTAGTGTCTAACAGACGGTGTTGTTTGTGAGTCGTCTTATTTGATAATATACTGAGATCCTTATTCAATGGTCCGTCTGGCAAAACATGGCTAATTTGCTTCAGTTACGCTAGAGTAACAACATTTTCGGGCGGGCCAAGAGTAAGCTACAGAACTAACTAAAAATTCTCATCACCCTCCCCCCCTACCACCGCCCTAATGTAAAATGGGCTTTTGAAAGAATTTTTAGCTCAATGACATAGAAGAAACGTTATTTCTGCAAATGTTCTTCGTGGTTATTCAGGAATAACTAAGAGTGCAGACTCTAATGGTAAATTCTTGTTTAACAAATGCCCACTGAGCAAGGTAAGAAAGTTGACTCGCGTTGGATGATTCACGTGTAATAATGGAAACATAGTTTTATAGTTAATAAAGTATTGGTCCATTTTTCTGTTAGCATGACCGTGAAAAAGTTGCCTTTTTAATTTGTGCTATGATTTATTTGAATGGAGTTGAGGGAGAGTCCACGTAGAAGTTACTACGAATGGTCGACACAAACTTTGAAATCAACCCCTAAATGGAACCAGAAGAGCGTTTTGTGGGCGTGGTTTGATTTATTTTCTCCCCTAGGAGATACCAAGTCTAAAACGATAAGTTGTTGCTTCCATCTGTTCAGACGTTTAAGCCAGTGCCGAGATCATGACTCAAACAGTGGCGATTTAAGCAGACTGAGCAGTAACAAATCCTTGATTTTAACCCCTAAACGCTACGACGATCAGTCCCATCACATCTCAGTGTGAGATGTCGCTCCCCACTGGGATTGTCACAGTTACAATAGAGATTTAAAATGTTGGGAAAATTAAAGTCTAAAAAAGTTCATTTTAACTGTTGTCATGTAGTTTTAGTGGACATTACTGACACAGTTTGACTGTTCAAGTACTGGGCCATTCACTACTATTTGTCAACATTTCGCCATTTTTCACGTTCAAAGAAACTCCACATAGACCTACCTAATGACAAACTAAGGAGCAGATGAGCTTAATAACTTGTCACGGTTGACCGTTTTCACGTCCTGCAGAATTGATTTAAGTATCAGTAATTTTTCCTTTATTCTTTCCGCGGATTGGAGGCATGAAATACCCTACGAAGGTCTAAGAACAAGGTTAAGTGATTAATTGTTATTAACAGTTTTAAAAGACTATTTTCCAAATTTCTGAATTGGTTGCACATAAGATAAATTTGCAAATTAATCAAACTGTTAACTTGAAAGATGAAAATGCTTCTTACTAGACAGATAAGAAACAATCAATACTTACACCATGAACCGCAGTTGACAAACTTTAATTGGAACACGAGCACAAAACAAACAAATCTCGCCCACTCGTTTATCCATTTTGTATTTTTTTCCCTTTTCAAGGAAACTGTTTTATCCTTTTAGTTGGAAATGGGCTGTGACGTGTTTTTCTGACCTTGTTTGTTTCAAAGAATCGGTTTAACTTCCAAAACTTCACGCTGAAATGCGACAAAAAAGCAAATCCAAAGACGGAGTACCCACTCGCTTGTCTGTGCAGACTGATTCAGTTCTGTGTCTTGATGTTCAGTGACCTTTGTCGACATGATATTTGTCATCGTTTCACAAAAAGGGCGTGTAGTAGCGGTGAGTTGCACTTTTCACATTGAAAGCGGCGGAAGAAGGCATTGTTTTTGCCCGGTGACAGATGAGAAACCACTTCTAACAACGTTAACGAAAGATGAATTTCATTTCAAGGGCAGGTATTCTGTGCCCTGGTCAAAACAAGATTTTTTGCGAGCGAAATTTTCCTTGTGGTAGAAACGATGAAGCATCAATTTTCTGGAAAACCTTGTATTTAGATAAAGCTAGCTTTTACTGTGCGAGATTTTGAATGGAAATTTAAAGAAATTGAAAGATTTTCAGTAATAGGCGATAGAGATTAAATAAACTTCCAAAGCGTTTTTTTCCCTCACCAATTTCTGGTGTTCCCTTGTCATTTGCTAACGACACGACTGGTGAATACTAAAATATTAACGATATACACTGACCTGATGCGGGGATACTGAGCTTAGAAAGTGACCTTTTGAAAAAGCAATCGAAACAATTCCATCACAAAAAAACAATATTAGGTCGACGAATATTTCTGGCAAAAGTAAAATACCCTTTGCGAGCGTCAAAGTCTGGCTTTGTTTCCCAAAAAGGGGCTTACGCGCGAAATGCGAATCACCTCACGGCCCGTGAATAATTAACACGCCACGGTCTTGACCTGAGTGAATCAGGGATTACAAAGACTGGTGAATAATTTAACGTTTCCGGGACCCTGGCATAAAACGTTTTATTTCAGTTTATCATAATTCAATCCGTATTCAAGGAGGTAGCCTCAGAGAGACGGTAAGTTGGGTCATCGTTGTAATAGCCGAATTGATTCGTTTTGGTTCAACGCAAACCAGTAGAGGGGTACAGGAAGCAACTAATAGAAAACTAGGTGCGAGAAAACGTGGTTTATGGTTTATTACGATATAATAAATCGCGATAAAACGAAGACTAAACGCTTACCTCAGACTTGAAGAAGTATTTGACTTGACTCGAAGAAGTTAGGTGATGGTAAATAACTTTCTTATCACATTCAACAAAGTCTGGACTTTGTGATTATGCTAAAGTTAACTTCAGTTTAAAAGGCAAGTCGTTTCATTTGTTGAAATCTAACTTATCATTATTGGTGCATTTTCACAGCCCATCATGGCTCCAAAGGCGTTATTAGTGTGTCTTTTAATTGTGGCGGTTGCCTTCGTCGAGGCCGGGAAACACCCTAAAGCTAACAAGATAAAGAAAGGTGAGTTTTGTTCTTTAATTTTTCTTTAGAAATGGCCGCACGGGTAGCTCGATAGGGAATAAATCTCCGTGAATGAAAGCAGTGGTAGAAACTCGAAATTATCATGTTAAATGGCAAAAGGAATGATAGAAAAAATACCTATTGTAGTTGTTATAACTTGGACCATTTAATCTACATTATTCTTATATCTGTGAACTTGTGGTTCACCTCCCTCTACGTATGTCATCGTATTTCATGATCGCTTAATTCGTGAAACAACAACAGATAAAACACAATTATTTACAAGTTTTGGTTTAGGTGGACTGAGAGCTTCTCCTTGATGAATACGTTGCTTGAAATATCAAGCCGAGCCAACCTACAAAGTTATGAGAAATTGTAACAATTAACACGAAAACTAGTTTTGAAAAGGTTTCGGATATATTTAAAGGGCGCCAAGAAAAACTTCTGGCCACATGTAGTCCACCTTAAACCACCTGTCATGGGAGTCAGTTAGTATAAACAGTGCGACTGGACTAAATTTGGCTCGTAATTGACGATACGAGAAATTGAAATAGCTAAAAAATGATCTAAATAGTAATTCTTTTTCTTTATCTTTCCTTTAGTCAAAAGCAGTCAAGGATCCAAGAAGTGTGGTCCATGCTCAGTAACCTCCTGCGCACCTTCATGCCCGCCGGCATGCTGTGCCCCACCCCCACCCCCACCATGCCCACCACCTTGTCCTCCCCCATGCCCTCCTCCATGCCCACCACCTCCACCGCCGTGCCCTCCTCCTTGCATGACCCATAGTATACAGCACTCTCACAGTCAGTCATGGGCACCGGCTCCTCCGCCGCCATGTCCACCACCGTGCATGCCCCCAGGTCCCCCTCAGTCTGTACACCACATCCATCATGTAACTCATCATCATATGTTGCCTCCTCCTCCCCCACCCCCACCACTTCCCTGCCCACCACCATGCCACACTGCTAGTGTTATGCATCATCATACCCACCAATGGGCTCCTGCTCCCCCTCCACCCTGCCCACCCCCATGCTCCCCTCCCGGTCCACCACAAAGAATCCACCATGTTCACCAGGTCGTCCACCACATCGTGCATCCACCACCACCCCCACCACCACCTTGTCCACCCCCATGTGTCATGAGCTGCGCTCCATCTTGCCCAGTGTCTTGCTGTAAGAAGAACAAGGTCAAGGCCGAGGATGATGGCTCTGGCGAGGACCAAGTCGACGATGACGACGACAAGGTCGAGGAAAAGAAGGAAGATGAAGCTGACAAGCAGGAGGACAAAGAGGAAGAGAAACAAGAAGCGAAACAAGAGGACAAACAGGAAGATAAACAAGAAGACAAGACTGAGGAAAAAAAGGAGGATAAGAAAGAGGAAAACGACGATGACGATTAGTTTAACCGAGCTTCATAGTTAGGTTTCATTTCGGTGTATGTTACACGAGGAGTTCAGCGTCCTGAAAGATGCGCTTATGATGCATTTTACCTGAAGTACGCATGCTCGTACGCTTGTGAATAAACGCAACCCTCGATCCACCTTGTGAAGTTTGCAGAAAAAAAAGTTGTACATGTGGTTATTGATATTTAATTAAAGGTGAAGCGTTTTAAACTATAACTTGTTTCTTGATTACGTTTGAGTTGTAATATAAAATAAGTGTCGTTGATCGAAGTTTACAGTTAAAACTATTTGCTCAGGGACAAAAAACAGCAGCAGCAGCCGCAGCAGCAAAAACAACAACGACGACGACACTTAACAAACAAAAACAACAAAACTGGCAAAAATTACAGAGCTGCCTACACACAGGGGAAAATAGTAAAAATTTAACTTGAAAGTTAAAACTCTTCATTGAAACGTTTTCTAACGCCTGAAATTAAGAATTTTCCCACACCCCCATTTTGCCCATCTCTTTTGCTAAAAATGGAATTCACTGACCCACCCGACCCTAAATTGTTGTGGGTACTATCGTCCCACTCCACCCGTCCTTTGCGTTCACCAACACATATTTGTTTCTAGAAGGTTTTCTAAAGTGTGGCTTATTTATTTAAATCTATTTATCCAAACTTTTGCTTTTCCCATGTGTTATAGCGTAAATGTACTCTGGACCCGAAAAGAAAACGCAATTTTTTTTCGTGTGCATGCTATAAAGGTTTTTTTTGAATTATAACGTTTGGGTAGCCAAATTCTGGTACTAATTTTCCCCTCTTTGGGTGATCAATAAATTTTAAAAACAAACTGTTTATCGGGCTTTGTTGCTTTGTTCGTGCTCCTTGGTACAATAACGGTATTTTTAAATTTAACACGGGTCATAAAATAAATCAAAGTTAAGCGTTTTATTAACATAGGCATCTTTTAGAAAAAAAAAAAAATGGGTACAATGACCATAATGTAGAGAAAAACAATTTGACGAGCTTTGCTATGCGTCCCGAAGAGAATTTCTTTCTTATTTTCTTCTTCTGCAAGTCATTCTGTGTTGGATTGTTAGGAATTCCTGGTTATTCATATTCACCTCCTCCTTCTGTCGTTATGGTTTGATTTCTTTTATCAGAAATCATAAAACAAAAAAGCGGCCGCTTTATTAGAACAAAGAACCGTTAAAACGGCTCTGGTTTTATTGAGGACTAATTTATTACATGTTTGCTTTGTCAATTGCGCACGAAAATATCTGAGGAAGTTGTTTTAAATAGCGTAAAGAACCCCATTGTGGTCATCTTGTAAGCTCAGACGGATCTTGAATACAAGCACCTGCCTCGGAGGTCAATAAAACAAAACACCAAAGCGCTGAAAGGAAAAGGGTTGGATTAAGCATAAATTAAATCCACATTTATCAGCGCACGGGGACGCGAGGAAATACTATAAAAAATGGGGGAAAAAGGTGGCGATAACTTTAATTTAAAAATCCTTTTTCTGAGGGAATTGCGACAAGCAAAGAGGAAGATTATGATGCAACGGTTGATTACACAGCTCATACGGGTACCTGGCTCCCGTGAGAAAATGTTTTGACTAGTGTCATAAAATAACCAGGTACCAAAAGCTTATTTTTCACGCGTTTTCTAACCCGAGAAATAACAATCCGTTTCACAGGAATACAATACTTTATGTTCTTATAAAGTGATACAAGGTGGGAATGCTTTTGGTTGCTTTGTGCCTGCGTTTGGCGCCAGCAAACGCACGCGCGCCAAATTGACGCAATGGTGCTGATGACTTAATCTCTTAGTCATTGGGACTTGCGCGAGAGCTCATAAGTGTGCAATGAAATCAACTAAAACTATTAATAACTTATAGACTTCCTTCAAATCCTGTGATCCGTAGTCATCGACAGCCAATAGGAATCGACCCCATTGGCTAAGACCTGCGACTGGTCAAACGTCGACATAATTAATAAGATCCTCTATTGCAAATCACTTCTCAGCGCGCTCAGTAGATCGATTCGAGCTCTGACTAGAAGGTAAGTTCACCATATTTGATCTATTTATAACCACAAAGCCGATAGCACATAATGCCTTGAGTAGAAGATTTCTTTCTTAGCTTTTTATCTCTGTAAGATATCGTATAAGTTCGTGCAACCTTTAAGGACGTTTTAAACTTTTCTTCCAAAGGTAACACATTTCCCCGAGAGCATTTATCACTTATAAAACTGTAAGATGACCGCCTCTTATCTAGAGCTGGGAACAATCTTTTGTCTTGTTTAATCGTTTTAGTTCTTGTCGATAGTATTCTTACGAGCTTTTTCTTTCATCAAGTTGCAGAAATGGCCCGATTTGTTGTTCTTCTTTTGGCCGCCGTTGTGTGCGTAAGCGCAAAATCTCTCAAAGGTAAGTCTCAGTTGTTTTATTTTGTAACTTGTAACATATCTATATTAAAGGCGTCTTCACAAGAGAGTTTTGTCGTTTGATGTGATAATCGCAAAGGATTGAAAAAATCCGGAGCGAAATCTCCTATCCAAAACTGATTTTATGTAAAGATTGAAACAAGTTAATATTTTATGCTTGTGTTACCACAATCGTGAAACTCTTTCAGAGACGGGATTAAATAGCTTTCTCGCTTCCAGAACATTAAAATCTTAACCAATCTACCGGGAGAATTACTTATAGTTTCTAATATTTTCAGTATTGTTAAAGTAGTAGGACGACACAAGAAAGTAAGCTAAACAATTCAAAACAAAATGATCAACCCGTAGCAAGATGACAATTGATACGAAATAAAATTCTATTACACATTTTCCTTTAAAAAGGATTTTTTGTTTCGGACCACCGGACTATTGACACCTCTATAAGACTGTTTTAAGAGCTACTTAAGAGAACGTCTGACCTCGAAGATCATGAAGTTGTGTTAGACCCAGTCACGGAAGAATTATTACGCTACGAAGTATCGGGTACATTGATAAGATTCTCGTCTGTCGCGAATATGGCGATATGGTAATGCACGAAGTAGACAAGCTTATCATCATAACATCGTCACTGTAGTGACCTTCACGTTTTTTGTTTCTCTGCAGAAAAGAGAGGCGCAATCCCTTGTGGATACAGTTGCATGGCTCCAATGTGTGCTCCCACCTGCCCAACCTATTGCTGTACGCCACCACCACCCCCACCACCACCTCCTCAACAGATCCACCACACCACCCACATCCACCACCACCATGTCCACCACATGGGTCCTCAGGCTCCAGCCATGCCTGCTCCCCCTCAGCCAGCTCCTCCTCCCGCCACTGTCCAAAGCCAGCAGCACGTGTGGGAATACCAACCACCACCACCACCATGCCCCTGCCCAATGCCTGCTCCTCCTCCAATAGTTGTTCCTGCTCCTCCATGTCCTCCACCATGCCAACCATCATGCTGTGCCCCTGCTCCAGTCTGCCCACCAGCCTGCCCCCCTATGTGCTGCAAGAAGCGATCAGGATAAAGCCTCAGCAATGTACATACGAGGACAAAGACTGCGTGAGCCAGATGTTGTTATATTTGGGATTGTTTCAAGGTGTATCTTTATGGCGTAGGCGGTGAACTTTGCTTTGCCTGGAAAACGACCGGAAGGAAAAACGTTGCGTTGACGTAATAATAACATCTATGTACGAACGTTTTGTAGAATATTTTACGTTCTAGTGACGAATTTATGTACTAGCTCCTTTATGAACTTAATGTTCCTGTCGGAATTCGTGTAATTAAATAAAGTGTTGTTAATGAGAAACATTTTGTGAGTGGTGTATTAAATTTGTCCACATTATGATTTATTCCCACCTGTCCCGTTACGATAGAAGATTCGTGGTACCCTTAAGCTTTCAAAAAAGGAATTGTTGAAGAAGTCTTGGAGGAATACATCTGTCTTGACTGGCCCAGTCAGACTTCCTGTTTAGTTCACTTATTCTGCGTCCTAGATAACGAGAAACAAGCAAACAAACAAAACAGACGAAGAAAGAAACCAACCAAACAAAAAATAAACGAACGAACAAACACCTTATCAAACAGACAAACAAACAAACAAATGACTCAACAAGCGAAGAAACGAACAAACGAACGAAATAATAAAGAAAGAAGCAAGCAAACAAACAAACAAACAAACAAACAAACCAGTGTAAACATATTTTCATAGTCCAAAAAACCTGAACAAAAACCACCTTTGAATCATTGCTACTCATAAAAAATTCAGCTTCCTAAATCCTTGTTTCAACCCCTTTTTGTTCAGCACCTTGCTGAGCAGGAGACGTTTTTTACAGAAGAAGACGTTAATTCAGTAAGCCGTTTAAATCATGGGTCTCCTCGACTTGACATAAAACGCACGGATCCTTTCGAACTGATAAATACTAAAATTGTAAGAACCGGCTTTAAATTCGTTGATAAACGTCTTTTCGTTATGAAAAAAAAAAGAAGAAGAAGAAAACGGTCATTAGGATTACTAACGTGTAGAAAAATCCTCAGCGAAGAAAGTTCTTTTTTTTGCAGAGTAACATCGTCATAACAGCTTGAGTCTAATTTAAAGGCTGTAAGAACAATATTTGTAAAGCAAGTAATGGTGGTTAAAGTGAGTTCTGGATCCTCTAATATAACGGTTATTTCCTGGAAAGCCTTATACCTTTACTTATAACCTGCAGTCTAGCCACATTGTCAACCAATATTTAAGAGTTAGCTGAACGTTTTTTCATTGCTGTTTTTGCAGGAAAATAACCTCTGAACTCAAACCGTTACTACCTTTAATGCTTTTAGAGATACTAGTAACACTTTCTTCACGGTTGAAATTTGCAATAGAGGCAATTATTCCACGAGAATCCGTGAAACAATAGCGATAACGGGTGAATAAATGTCAAGCGACAAAACACCAGTAAGTCAATAAAGTCAGTGTCTGTAACTACAATAGGGCATATTTCAAGCTACCGTTTGCGATTACTGCGGAACGACCTCGTCGAAAGGTTACACTAAATAGTAACTACGGAAAGGCGTCTTATTCAGACAACGGTTTTTATGCCTCCTTCATGGTTCACAGATTTCAAGGAAACAAAGATTCAGCGATTACAGGTTGCTTTGATTGTGACAATTCAAGCACCATGAAAGTGGCAGGGGACTATTATGAAAGACTTCAATATGGGATTCTTGGCATAGAACTAGTGTTCCGGGACAGCTTACTGGTGATGCGTAAAAAATTAATCGCCGGCGGTGTGAACGGAAGCCTCGTGTCAAACACAAACTCATTCCATTACGTTGCCACATTGGATCGTTAGGACATGCATGAGGAAACCTGCACGAGCCAATCAAATTCGCCAACCCAGAACGGGTAGTGCAAACGATTAACGCATCGCAACGTCTTCCATTTAAAGCAAAGTAGCAATTTCTTGATTGTGTTGCCCAAGGAATCAGGGATTTTAGGTTTTCCTGAAAGAAAGGTAAGATCGTTTGAGAACTTCACTTTGATGTCTCAATGATAATGAAATAATTTATTGCTAAACCGAACTGAACGTTCTTGCCATATCGTATACCTTTTCAACGGTCGTTATTTTTTCTTTTGAGAAGTTAGTCATTCGACTTCTTCGAAGTGTACTCTCTCGTAGAAACTATTTCAAAGACTGAGTCGGGCGCATTTGTACTGTTTATATCGTTCATATTGGCCTCGTTTTGTTCTGGTTTCTTTGATGGTAGCTGACTTAGGTGTGAAGAAAAACGATTGCGAATAACAAAAACAATGTACTTGGGAAATTTAATTTGCTCTAAAGTTTAGTTTCACATCTATGTTTTTGCACAGAGTTTTGTCAGATAAAATTTACCATGTTATTCTGTTAAATATAGCAAATCAAGATTTACCATGTTATTGTGTTAAATATAGCAGATCAAACAAGCATCAAATTTAACTGTTCTTGAAAAATGCTTACATTCACCAAGATTTCTTGAAGATCGAAATTTTCCAGTTAGGAGGACTTAGAAATATTCCTGCGGTTTACTAACATAGGCGGCGGTTATACCAGGTACTATGACTACAAGTTAATTTGAAGTTTTAGACAAGCAGCTAATACTTAATTCTTTTTATTCTTCAGGCAACATGGACAAGCGAATCTTTCTTTTCCTTATTGTGTTGGTAGCCTTCACTGTTGAAGCTAAAAAGAAAATCCTGAAGAAGAAGCTGAATCAGCTTAAAGGTAAGAGGAAAGAAGAAAACTCGAGTCATTTAAACTGAAGTGATGAATCAAAAATATGGTTGTCAAGCGTTCAAGTTATGTATGGCTTTGCAGGCCGACAAATTTTAACAATAACCGAAAGGTTCAAAATAATGGAAAGTTTTGAAAATGTTGCTGTTATGAAGGGAATACCTTGAAAGTTATCTCTTTTAAAAGAGGTTAGACTTGTTTAAGCTAAGAGTAAAGAAATAATATCAAACAAATTGCGTTGAAATTTAAATTTAACGACGAAATGTTAGCGGCGCTGGAACTGGAACTAGAACATTCAGTGATTCAGAATTCTACTTCCTATGAGTCAGGGCTTCGGTTTTATATCTTTAGAGATGAGTTCAGCAGAAAGCTTTTAAAATACGACTGATTAAGTTTAGTTTATTTCTGTCAAAACTGGGGAAATGATCAAAGATAAATAACATCATTTCCCACAGCAGGTTAAATCTCTCGTCACTTGTCTAGAAGAACCACACCACCAGTTAACAGACAAAAGCATCCAAACTGGTGAAAAATGTCGATTCTTTTGATCTTGACAATTTTAACCGTTTTAATTAAGCCGCATGCGATAAGGTTTATTCAAGTCGAACGCAATATTACAAAAACATGCAAACATAAAACTAACTTCGCGATGTCAGATCTGATAAACAAAATCTATTGAACGGAAAGATGGGGAAGTCGCCTCAATAAATAGAGGAGAAATTTTGGGAATAAACTAATCACTAGAAATTTAATAGCGACTTAAAAAATAACCTTGTTTATGATTTGCCTTCGTTCCCATCCATAGAAAAAAAGTTTCACAAAAATCATGCTATAGGGTCTTAGCAGCGGAACATCTGTTTTCCAGATCTATTTTAACGAACAGGTGCAAAGTGTTGGACTGCATTTTATGTTAGTTTGACAAATTTAGTTTTGACCATTCCATTCAGAGTTTATTGAGATTGTTCACATTAGGGAATGTTATATACAGAGGGATAATTGAGGGCCGCAAAGAAAATCCATATCCCGAAACACGATTTGCCAAACAATTTGGTTCCGCTGTTATAACTACACAAATATGACTGTAATTTTGCAGTTCAAAACTTTTCCTAATTTTACAGTAAGTTTCAGCTTTCGTAGTTTGTAATACGCAATTACCTGTTTAAAAAAAAAGGTTAACGAAATATTTATTTTCGACTGGGAAACAAAAACCAAAATAAATCACAATTCCTCCACCGTGATTTGTTCCTCTCTTGACGCCGTCAGGTTACATGTTTCTTCTTCAAATTACAATCATTTGTTTATTTCGATGTTGTCGTTGTAGCAATTGACTCTCCTGATCAGTGTGCTTTTTGTTTGTTACAAATTTGATAAGTCTTCAGTTCTCCTGGTTTGAACTAAAGCCATAACCACCTGCAAAATGTGTTTCCGAAAATGTTAACAATATTTTATTTTGGGCAAATAAGAAACATCAAGATCAACGTGGTAGGCATGACTGATATCTTTAGACCTGATGCGAAAAGTAAAGTAGGAGAAGTTCAACCGAATGAGTGTGTTAATACAAACCGATTCAAATTAGTGATATTTTTGGTAACAGCTGAACATCTGATAAATCGTAAGCTAGTTCCATCCAACGATGAAGTGATTCTTGCTCGATTGCGAGACAAAAAATAATTTTATTGTTTTCAACTCAGGCGCGAATTTTTTTTATGAAGATAGCCCTCCGATTCCCGGGCACATATTTTAATTTTCAAATATCAATCAAAAAACTCTTTAGTTACATTTGTTTCCCTTCCGTTGTTCTCTTCATGCAGGAGCTAAGAAATGTGGATATGGATGCCCATCAAGCTGCCCTTGTCAACCAACCTGTTGCCCGCCACCACCACCACCACCACCTCCCCCACCAATATGCTGTCCTCCTCCCCCACCACCCCCACCCCCACCAATAGCAACCAGTAGCCAACAAACTCTTTACCATCATCACTTTCACCCAGGACCACCGCCTCCTCCTCCTCCTCCACCTGCTCCTTGCCCACCACCATGCCACTTTGGCCACACTGTGCACCACCACGTCTACCACGCAAGCCCACCAGGTCCCCCTCCGGCACCCATGCCTTCCCCTCCTCCCTTCTCTACTGAATCACACGCCCATGTGTTCGTCCACCACACCCATCCCGGACCACCACCACCCCCACCTCCACCTCCTGCCCCATGCCCACCCCCATGCCACACTGTGCAGACAGTTCACGTACAGCAACACCACTTTCCACCTCCCCCTTGTCCACCACCATGCCCTCCTCCCCCTCCTCCCTGCCCTCCCCCGTGCCCTCCTCCCTGCCCTCCCCCATGCCCTCCAACTTGCGCTCCCCCCTGCAGTGCCTGCTGCAAGAAGGCCAAGGTAGGGAAGGATGAGGCAAAGAAGGAAAAGAAGAATGATGAAGAAAAGGACGACAAAGAGTAGATACGAAGACTGAACGACGACTGCTTATTCAACGTTGTGACGACAATGTTTCAAGACGGGTTGCGGATGAACGCCCGGTGTTCAAGTTAACGAATGCTGGGGCAATGTAACTGTGTTGAAAACATGTTTTTAAGCTTTAGTTAGAAAACTAACTGTTGTCAGTTGCAAAAGAGTTCGAATTCAGGATAAATGTCTTTGTAAATAAGGATTACTCCACTGCGATGAAATGGAACTTGACTTCAAGTATCAGATGGGATTCGAGCTCTTGTGATCGTTTTGTTTTCAGATCGGCTGTAAAACGTACAGCTTAGTATTATATACAACTGATGTTATGTTGTCAATTAAATTGTGCTCAAACATACCTTATTGTGATCTGTTTCCATTATATTTTTGTGAGGCATCACTTGAGTAAATTTGTCGCCAAAACAATGTTGGCCTTATATGGCAGCCTGTGATAACGCCGGAAATGCTTCGGAATGCGTGCGATACATTGACTTGGTGCAATCAATACTAATGTCCTTTGTTCCCAAATCGCATTCATGACATCGCATGATTTCAGGCCAGGCTAACTTAATATTTATTTCTAATCATACCTTTTTGTTACGGTTCAGTGGCATATATGTCGATCGAGTTTGGTTGAGCTATAATTCGTGTTTTGACGAGACGCAGTCGAGACAAAATACTTGGCTGTTTATCAATTTTAAGGTAATAAAGGTAAATTATTTATCGATATCTAATGAAAAGAGTTTGCGAGGCTGATGTTTCGAGCATTAACCAGTTGTCAGCGTAAAGAGAAAGAGCAAAGACTTTTGACGAAGTGAACGTTCGAAACACTTGTTGGCAAGCTCGTTACGGTGGTAAATTTACCTCCATCAACTTTACGTTGATAAAAAGCTCAGAGTTTCACTTTCCCGCCGACGTAGCAGAACAATACCTCTCTGGGAACAAAATACCCATAGCAACACCCGGCGAGCCTGACGTGCCGAGAAAACGTCTCAAACAACGACAATTAGGTATTCAACGCGCCCAAATTTGGTTGAAGTCAGGGACATATCACGGGGAAAAGTTAAAAGAGTTCCTGTTTGGCCGATGTCGAAATTGGAAACTCTAACTTTTGGTTGAGAACTCCAAAAGAGGTGTAAGTTAGTGCTCGGGAGATTTCGTAAAATTTTCCGAAATAACTCGGTAGTTCCCGTGCTATATCTTTAACCCTTCGGTGTTCGCGAGGAAGTGCTTGGGGTTGTGTGGGAATGATCCACTGTTCTGGGGTAGGGGAGAGAGTTCGGTAAGGGAGAGTTCGCGGGTGCGTGTAATATTCTGCAAAGCTCTTTAGTCTTGTAGAGGTGGAACTCGGGATTGTTTATAATTTTCTCGGAATTCTTAGTTCGCTTGGGTAGTGCACCTCAAGGTTCAAATCTTTACACAAAGAGTCTCCCGTGTACAAACACCTCACTGCCCTAAATTGTCGTTTTTGAACATCATTGGGCGCATGAGAACTATTGGTAATAGCTTATTTTCTAGTGAGGAGAGAAATACAGTTGTTATCAACTGATCTATCCCATGCTAGTAAATGTATCTAGAGTTCACCGTAAGCTCTTCCGCTTTTCTTCGAAAACAACTGCTTGGTGCTTCTAGTCTGTTATTTTCCCTGAATGTTCTCTATAAACATTTCCACTGGTTAACGTCCAACACCAGATTTTAGTGTTCTGTTGTTTGCTTCCCTCCACCTGAAGTTCCGGGGATTGGAAAGAAGACTCGTCTGATTCAAAGCCAGCCATGGAACGTCTATTTGCCATAGGAAGTTCAAATAGTATAACTTACAACGAACAAATGTTCTAAAATGACACCGCTTATTGTCCACAATTTGTCATCGAAATATGGCCAAAGTGTGCCCAACTGTCAGTTGAATGACAAACTGACATTTTTACAACTCCAACCATGGCTGTGGCATTTTTAACCCAGGAGAATTTACAAATGATATTTAACAGTAAGGGTAACTCAAACGCTAATTTTATTAATTGCCCGAATAGTACAACCTTGTTGTTCTGTTTGATTCAATTGAAATGATATGGTAAGTAGGCATCATCTCGCTCAAAATGAGCTTCTTTCGTGTCATAAACAAACGGTTTTCCATTATATTTACAGCAGGAAAAAGGAAACGAAGACTGAGCTTCTCACTCTCCCCTGGATGACCGCCCCGCAGAATGTGGCACCATAGTGGTGTAAACGTCTTATCATATCATGGGTTGCGTTACTGGTTCGCCCATCTAACTTTCAGCATCACGCTTCTTCTTGTCGCAACATTCAGGTTTACAAGATGGTGCGCATGATCGAGCACATGGTGCTGGACACATTTGCTGTGGAGGAGGCATCATCATCATTGGATTAGGAGGTGGCATCATCATTGGAGGAGGTTGCATCATTGGAGGAGGTTGCATCATCATCGGTGGAGGTGGCCCTTGACAACAGGTAGGAGCACAGGACGGTTGGCATGGATTCATAGGTGGCATGGGAGGCATTGGGGGCATTGGAGGTGGAAGCGGTGGGAGAGGTTGCGGATTGCAGCACTTTGGTGTGCAGGCTGGATAACAAGCTTTGGGACATGTGTCAGGACAAGGTGGTGGTGGCTGAACCGGAGGTGGAGGAGGCATCACCGGTGGTGGAGCAGGCATAACTACTGGCGGAGGAGGAGGTGGAGAGCAGCAACCAGCTTGCTGACATTGAGCAGGACACGGCATGGTCTGAATTGGAGACACTTGTGGCATTCCTCCACCTGGTTGGATAGTTGTCGTCCAGCGCAGGCAAACAGGAGGACACTGCTGAGGAGGTGCGGCCATTCCTGGGAGTCCCGGGGCTCCAGGAGGTCCCATTGGTCCCATAGGTCCCATGGGTCCCATAAAACCGGGTGTTCCGCGACATCCCGGAGTACCGGGAGGTCCCATGCATCCGGGAGTGCCAGGAGGACCAGGCATTGGTGGGGGTGGTGGTGGAGGAGGGGGAGCACAACATGATGGCTGACACAGAGGAGCGCAGGAGGGAGCACAGCTTGCACCACATGGACTCCCTGGGAAGAGAGAAAAAAGACGCTCAAATTATAGGACTTCTCGATGATTTGCTTTTTACGAGAGAGAAAGAGATAGATTGGAACCAAATTTGAAGTTTATTGAAGTAAAACCACAGATTCCTGGGCTCTAGGTTAGTTGTGAAGATATCATTATGAATCGACAGCATATCGACAGCATATTGTTATTTTCACTGCCTTACCAATCCTACATCTAAACACAATCAATGAACGCATACTTTTGAAAATAGATTAGAACTAATTTGACACCGTTTTAGAAAACACTGAAAACCAAAGGACATAATGCACCAATTAAGGGTTGTCGTAATGAATTCTGTACGTTTACTTCTGATCTGTTTATTCATTACAGCTCACACTAAAAATTGTGAAGTATGGATTCGAAGAATTAACCTAAATTGGCGACGTAGGTAAAAGAGAAAGAAAAGTTGGCATTTATTGCCTCGAAACAACCTCCAGGTAAGCTAAATTCTTGTTTCAAGCCAAGTCATACATAGATAACTTTACATGTGAATCTCGTTCTACAACTTCCGTCAATTTAGTTTCATTACAATGTCGACACTCACTCTTTGCCCTCAACTCAGCCAGCTTCGTTTGAACTAAGAGGTAAAAGAGAACAATAAGTTATTTCGGAACCAAGAGATAGAGATTTATTAGGATACCCTCCCATAGATAGTCTTAGTTAAACTGGTCTAAGGTTTAAGTTACTTTGATTAAATCGGTTATGACCTGAGATACGATATCTGGCGCAGAGTTTTAATTGTCAAAGTGAATTGGTCTCTACCTAGGTTAAGCAAAGCAACCTGCCGCTAGAAAACGGGACACATTTGCTCATTTTTTTCTAAATGTTACTAGAACAGTTTCCACGCATTATTTTCAGCATTATTCAGCCATGAGCACTAAGTACAGCAGTAGAGACAGCAAAGTAAGGATACCTCTTGTTGCTTAGCAACGCCGCTGTCAAGAACGCGTGCTCAGTCAATGATTTTGGTGTTAATTGGTACTTGTTTCTCCGACTGCAAATTACATTCCAGCGCTGGTGACAAATTGAAACTGTTTGGTTGCCAAAGGCCATTTTCTGGACAGAGCATAGACAATAGAAAACTGAGGTGCATGACAGGTTTTTAATGGATATAAAACCGGTAAATGTTCTGCCCCAATAAGGCTCGGTTCATTTATTTTGAAATCAAAGTAGCCAACATGCTTTTTATTTTCGTTCGCCCAGCGACAGGTTGTTTTTCACTGGTGACTAATGACATCGATCAACCAGAGAATTTTTCACACGCCTAAGTTAACGGCTATTACCCGCTGGAAAACCAAGCAGAGTGATTTAAAAGAAACTGAACGTTTCTTTTAAATAGAAATTTAACAATTTCGAAAAGTGGTTGTTTAGGTGAAAAGAAACCTCCAACAAAGCAGAGCTGTTAAGAAAAGAGGTGTTAAATTGGTAAATTATTTGAATTTTGAATACAATTACGTTGTTCTGTCAGTTTTGCCGAGTAGCTGATTTTCCTTCAGTAAGGAAGTTAGAAAAAGTTCCGCTATGTTGTTACACGGTTGAATGAGAGTTAGATGGCATGAATGAGTTGTTTTCAAACTTCATTAGTCTAATTTACAAAACAGAATTACAGCAGTCGTAAGTTTTCGTCACTACTCACCAACAGAGCTCTCTACTCCAAGTGCCACAGCTAAAACAACCGCGACTATCAAAATTCGAGGCTTCATTTTCGACGATCAAAGATACCTGATGAACAAAAAGAGATTTGCAGCCTAAGAGAAAAACCTTGTCTGGCATAAAACAAAGTAGTACTTATTTCTCGTCCTAAAGGAAAATCTTTAATCCTTACCAGGAGGAATCGCTCTTTGGCTTATATGGACCGTGTGAAGCGAACCGTAATGCAAGGAAAACAATATGAAGGAACAGCCTTTTTCATGGTAGCCATTGATTTCATGACATTTTATTTATAGTTATCTCTCCATGACGAGAATTACCTGAGTTTTTTGCGATGCTTTAGGTTAAATTCCTCTTGTTTGTTAATAACTTCTCATTTAAAGCCCTGTTATTTAAAACTGATGCGTTGTCCCTGAACGAAATACATGAAAGGAAATAGCAGTTTTTCTTACCTGGAAGTGTCCGTACTGAGCTTTCTCCAACAGGACAGCGCTGATCGTTTGTTTCACAAAGTAAAAAGCTACCAGTTGTTTCTCGCGGTACCTATTTATTTATTAAACAACACCTCAGCTCACAAATGGCGTGGAATTCCAATTTTGTCGCATAATCATGACAAAGTGTGAAAACGTGACGCGAACTTGCAAATAAGGTTGAATCAGCCAAAAAATAACGTTCTTCGTGTAAGATTGGTTTGGTTCAAGGGGAATTTTTCAAGACAATTATTTTGGAAAACTTTCTGCTCGCTTCGACTGATGGTCAAGGATCTTTAAAAAGTGATAAATATTTAACATGTCGTGTTTAAACAAATCGGTGACTTCTCCACTGGGTTTTAAATCTCGACCACAAGTAAGACAATCAACAAACAGGCAGGTACTACTAAATCATCGCCATTGATTGGACAGAAAAAATTTCCCGGGGAATGATTTGGGAGGGTAACAAAACTTTTCAAGTGTAGGATTGCTTTACTGCTCTGGAAGTTGCCATGGGTAATAGGATTTGAAGATAATATTTGTATATCTATGTTTATTGTTATCTTTGTAACGAGCTAGAGATACGGTAAAGGATCAATAACACAGGTGACCTTTTTCATCCTGCTGTTTTGACTGAGGTTTTACAGGCTAAGCTATCATAATTGATCAAAGTTTGGTTTCTAAATTTTTAAGGGAAAAAAATTATATACATCGCCTATATGGTCGACTGTGGCAGGCGCGATGGCCTAATTAAAAAGTTTTACTTTAACAGCTCAATACCACTACCAATCCTAGTCAGACAAAGGGCGGAAAGTGCTGACTTTTACTGTTAATCCCTCTCTTAACATCTAACTAAAAGCTGCCAAACTTTGCGAATTTAATACACCGTTTTATTATATGGCTGTGTCTCACAAGGACTGGGAACTACCGAATTCACGAATTTGATTAGTTGAAATCGATATTGAAAGCGGTCTAGATTTTCCCATGAGATCGGCATCTAGACCGATTACATTTTGCAATGAAAAAGTTGCAAACTAAAATGCAAAAATATTGGTTTTTTTCTTCTGATGACAAAAAAGTATAGAGGACGGGCAAACTTTGGCAGAATTAAGTTCGGCTCATCGTCGTTTGAAAGCAAAATGTCAGCTAGTACAAACTAGTTACATTAAACGTGGTTTAAATCTATAATAACACCTGATTAATAATAGTGTGCACCTTATGAGAATGCAAACGGTCTCTGTGTTGCTAACAAATTGTGCATAAAGCATAAAGGAGCTGTACTAGCTGGGAATCGAACCCGGGCCTCCCGTGTGGCAGGCGAGTATTCTACCACTGAACCACCAGCAGTTCTTCTTGCATGAAGCTTCAAAAATAAATTAAACAAATTGTTTGAAAGCTGCTCCAGACTAATGCAAATCGATTCTTCAGTTTTCCTCGATTCAAGTAAGTAAGATAAAGTCTGCAGACGAGCCAAGGGCCCATCAGGCCGGAGCTTAGCTCGGTATCTGTAGCATGAAGCGACCTGGAGAGTTTCTACTCTCCCCTGGATGGGATGCTAGTCCATCGCAATCTCACTCGATGCAAGTGGGTAATATGACTCACACTACGTTTAAGTTTTTGGGTTGGTGATTTAACACTATTTTGGTTCTCAGAAAACTAGCTACTGCAAGAATGTTCATTTTGTTTGACTTGTCTTATAAGTTACACCTTCTGATTTGTTGAAAGAAGAAATAAAGAGATGGGCCTTTGAATATTTTGAGATACTATTTAATTTTGAAGCGTATAGGATTAAAACTCCTACTCCTACTATGTGAAACAATTGAATGTTTATTTTCTTTTTACGCATTTGTAAGTTATAGGTTTTACAAAAGAGAACTTTGTGTATGCGCCCTGCAGTCGCATCTTACTGATAGAGGAATTGGTCATTTGTTCTGTTGTAAAATGACCTTCAACCAAGCACTGGCGGTTCAGTGGTAGAATTCTCGCCTGCCACGC